GTGTGTGTGTGTGTGTGTGTGTGTGTGTGTGTGTGTGTGTGTGTGTGTGTGTGTGTGTGTGTGTGTGTGTGAGTGCGCGCGCATGCGTGTGTGTGTGCACCCTGACGTACACAAGAAAGTTCACAGCCGCACCTCCATTGCAATCTCCAGCTTCGCAGCGAGCTGCTCCTGCATGCGCAGATGTGAAACAAAATGATGGGCCCGAACCTTGGAAAAGCTGCCGGAAAGCTCATCAGCAAATTAGCGAATGTGCTGATGGTTATGTCTTGTACAGCCCAAACACTGCCTCAACAGCTTAAGGCCCGCCTTCAATGAGAGTTAATTTGGCCTTTATGCGCACGCATCACCCTGCCCCTCCCTGGAGCCTGCGAGCTGGTCTGGGTGCAGTGCCCTGAGCCGCGCTTTGGGCCATGCAAGCCGCTCACCTGAGCCTGCAGCGCCTGCTGCAGCTCCTCGATGCGCCCCTCCAGGGCCTGCACCTGCCTAAAGCTGTCCTCCAGCTTGGCCTTGAGCCCCTCCGCCGTGTCCTTCAGGTGCGTGGCATACTCGCTTGGGGTGGCTTCCTTCGCGTTGGCCGCCGCCCTGACGGCGAGCAAGAGCTCGGCCAGGCGCTGCATGGTGTGTTTGCAAGCCAACCCAGTGAGCGTGCGGCGTGGCATGGGCGCATGGGCATTCTTTGATAAGAAGCCCCATCTCAATATTCACATGCGGATTGGTCTGGCACATGTGTGACACATGCATCACCTATGCAGGAACGGAGGCTCAAGGTCATGTGTGCGGCCGTAGGTCGGCGCGTACCTCCGCGCGCTCCTCAGTGAAGTGCAAGACTCTCTGCACGTGTTGCAGCTCTCGCTTCTTGGCCTGCAGGGGTGGTTGCACGCGGGGATGAATGCGCAGCGGCGCGCCTTCGAATGTGCTCGCTGAGGCGCTGTCGCATGGCGGCAAGGCGCACGTTGCCCGCAGCCGTCTCTCTCTGGTCTGAGACGGCTTGCATGGTACCTAATGGTTGCCTCACCCTGTAAGTTTCTGTGCGAACTAATCCAGGCGAGAACAACATTTTCACGGCGTGAGCAGGTCAAAATCAAGATCGTCAAACGACAAGTATGGGCCTAGAGCAAGGATGCGGAACTAAGGGGCGCCAGAATAATCAAAGAGTGATCGAATCACGGGCCGGTGCAAACATGTTGCAGTGATCTCAAATGTCGGGAAGATGAGAGGAGGAGAAGCTGCTTGCGAGGCAAAATCTACCTGTTACGCGCATGTAATATGGCTTGCAATGATATAGAGCTGATTTGCTGTTCGTTGCCTCGCAATCCACAGTCGTGGATGTGATTCATGTCACAGCTGCTGGTCTTGCCCTGCGCTGCCTGCCTGTTTGCGAATCTGCCCGCCCAAGCCCGCTTGCGCGCCTTTGACGCAGTGCAGACCAGCACGCAGTTGGGGCTTTTGCGCACGCCTGCTTTGAACCGTGCATGGTAGCCAACTCAATTTGAAAGTCAAGCAACACTGATGCCAGCCCAATCCCATGAGCCTGGATGGCTCCAGAAGCGGGCGACCGCGGGATGCTGCAACAATCCTATCACTGATCCTGCCTTTTGGCTACCGCTGGCAGCGCAGCCAGCGCCACAGCAGGCGCCCTGCAAAACCACCGGACGAGGAACGCGAGTGAGTTACTGAGATAAAGGAAGGACCACCCCTGCCAGGCGAGAAGGCGAGCCGCCCCCATACAGAAAGAGACGCTGCTGGCCGCTGGGTTGCGACGCTGCTACGGGTGCAACAAGGGTATCGGCACAACAACAGCCATACAGAACGCAATGAAGCAACGTGCATACACAATGCCACGCCAGCTGGGTCGACGCACAAGAAATTCAAAGCAACGTGCATACACGATGCCACGCCAGCTGGCTCGATGCACAAGAAATTTGTAAGGCAAATAGACGTGAGCAACCGTGGGGTTGTGTGTAACAGCGGACCAGCTGGCCAGACCAGGTGCGGTTTGGCTTGTGCAAGTATTCTGCCAAGCGATTACAAACCCACAAATTTGTACAAAAGAAGGTGTGCGCATGCTAAAAATGTTTGCACAACGCACATGGTTGCTGCGTAACGTCAAAAAACACTACACTCACATACACGTCGCTTCAGGCCACACGTCTGTCCCATTTGATCGCAATGTTTGCCCTCTAGATGACTGGATCTGGCTGATGTCACGGCCTTAAACATTCTCAGCATTTTTATGAAACCATTGACCTTCTCACGCGTCACCAGCAGCACTGCAGCAGAGCCGCCGAAATGCCTGTCAGCGACTGGCTGCTGGAGAGGCAGTCACCAACTCCTGTTCTTGTGTAGGCATCCAGGCAATCACGCAACCTGTCTTCACCGTGCACATTGAATCACGATTGGTGGATCTCGCTGATAAACAGGGACAACGGCTGGCATATACGGTATACTGAGCGACGGTTTTGCGGGCACATGACATTCGTCAGCAACAGGACGTTTACGGCCTCAATGACGCCTATGATTACATCTAAAATTGCATCGATCGTATCTAGGTAGGCAAATGTGCCTGTCACTGAAGAGCCACTGCTGTCTGCGACCACGGATGCTGCTGTCTATCACCGGCTGTGCCCTCATTGTGTTTGGCAACCATGAGCCCACTTGCTGATTTCGTACTTCAATCCTTGTGCAGTAATCGCGTCGCGCTGTCCGCCAACAAAACAATGTGGAAAAGCGGCGGCGGCAGCAGCAGCGGCAGCAGCGGCAGCAGCAGCAGCGGCAGCAGCGGCAGCAGCAGCAGCGGCAGCAGCGGCAGCAGCAGCAGCAGACGGAAATGCAGCATCAGGGCGGACAAGCTGCCGCAGCAGGCCCCATCTTGCGCAATGGCGCGCCCGGCTTGGAACAGCTCTACTCGCGTAGGCTCTCGCACGTCGTCAGCAGCCGTGGGCACGGCCCTCAAAACCAGTGTTGAGCGCACCGCTGTGACTGCATCTGCTGCCCGCGCAACCAAGCGAGTGCAGATGACTGTCCACTCGGCAAATCTGCAGGTGACATGCGCTGTACAACCAGTGATCACCAAAAAGGGCAACTTCATCACCAGCAACAGGACCAGCGGCTTCAAACGGAGCAAGAGCCCTGTGTGGGGCGCTGCCGGCAGGTGCGGCATCGCCGCCCAAGGCAGCGGCAGCGTTGTGAGCGACATGACCGGCGATGAAGATCAGGATCGCGACAGCCGCAGCTGTGCAATGATGCACACTTTGCAATCATCAGCGAAAAGCCCGGGGCCAGCCAGCACCGCCAGCGCCCCGATCAAGCCCCTTCCGGCTGTCGCTGTGGCGACGCCAGCGACGAGGGCAGCATTGCTGCCGCCCCTGCCAGTTGACAAATACAGCTTGGACCTGCATGTCGCCCTGCAAGCCGCGGACCCCGTCAAAGTGATGGAGACTGCCGAGCAGCAGGGGCTCGTCCTGGGCAGGGGCAGCGAGAGCGCTGTTGTTGCGGCAGTCGTCAGCGGCAGCACGTACGCACTGAAGCGCGAGAGGGAAGGCTTTGGGTGCAGCGAGGGCTGTCAGGCCAAGGCCGCCAGCCCTCTGGTGCAGTCGCCGCTGGTGCAAGCACGCGGCAGCGATAGTCACATGTACAGCCTCTTTGAGTTGGCGCCGGGCGCGCTCGATGCACTATGGGACTCCTACGTCTCAAAGCATGCCGCCCCGTCAGGCATGAACCCTGGCAGCCGCAGCTCTTCCGGCACCGGGAATGACGCAAGCAGCAGCCACAGCACAGCCAGCAGCAGCAGCAACCGCCCCTTCCGGCGGCTGCGCCAGCTGTGCAGCGGCGGCAAGACAAGCGTGTTGGATGAGAGCACGGCACCCAAAGCTATGCCCCCAATGGTGCAGGCTCGCGCAGTGCTGGCAGAGATGGCAGGCGGCGTAGCCGCCGCTCACCGCGTCAACATGAGTCATAACGACATCAAGCTTGAGAACTACCTTGTGTCGCGCCACGGCCACCTGAAGCTCGCCGACTGGGGCATTTCTGGTCCGAGCGATTTCAAGGCCGCCGGCGGAACCGTCCCCTTCATGGCGCCCGAGGTGCTGCGGGACTGCGGCCCGCCGTCGGCTGGCGCGCGCCTCAAGGAGGTGCTGGCAGACGTTGTGATGGCCGCCAGTTGCGGCCTGCTATCCTGCGGCATGGACGACGAGGGGTGTGAGGATGAGGACGGCGCCGGCGGCGCGCCAGTGGACAGCCGGCGCGGCGACATCTGGGCACTGGGCGCCAGCTACATAGTACTGACGACGCCAATTGCAGAGCAGCGCGAGGCCCTGAAGTGCCTCTTGACAGCCCAGAAGTGCGGCGGCCTGCACCTGCCCACCAGCCTGCAGCAGCACCCCGAGTTTGTCAGCCTACTGCAGGGCATGATGGCAGTGGACGAGGAGCAGCGGATGACAATCGACGGCGTCATGGCCCACCCCTTCTTCGCGGGCATCGACTGGCAGGAGGTGGCGGTGAGCGGCGCGCGCGACATGCCGCCCCTGGTGCCACCGCATGCGAGCACTTCGACGGGCAGCGAGGAGCAGCAGGGGCAGCAGGCCCTGGAGGCGCCGGGACAGGCTCTGCGGAGCAGCAGAGTACGCGAGAAGCGGCGGGGTGTGGGGGTGTGGGCAAAGGCGTGCGACAAGGTGCGGGGACTGCTGAGCTGCAAGTGAGGATGCATATAGTAGACTGTACGTACGGGATGAACATCAACTGAAGATCCACCTGTTTAGGGCTACAATTGCCTTGAGTGCTTGGGGTCTTTGGTGCATGCGCAACAGCAGCAGCGGGTGATACGCCTCACCGCACACGGCCAAGTGTGGGGAACGTAGCGGGTTTGACGGGCTCCCACCACAGGCCACCACGATCCCGTGGCGTTGACGGACGCGTCGGCTGCCGCGTCTGATTTCCTTAGAGTTGAGGGTCAGAGCTTTGCTATCCTCACATATCACTCTCGAATCAGATGTATGGGGCTGTGCTTATGGTGTGGTAGCAGCCTCAGGCAAGGCTTCATTCAACTCTTCGCTTTTGTTGAGCTGTCCTTACTGTACACGTTTGCACAGCCACACTTGCCTTCTTACTTCTCGCTTTGTTCATTGGAGTGACAATGTACAAAGACAAATGTAACAGCTGCTCTTTTGCTTGGCTGGCGAAGTGCTGTGTACAGCTAGGAGCCCGCACACTCAGCAAGCGAAACCCAGACACCGGTACGCAGTCGCAGGTGTGGCGGGACGGACCCACATCTGCAGGCCGTACATCAGCATATGCTTGTTACCAGATGTCGGGGGCAATGGAGCCAGTGCATGCATGGTTTTGCGCTTGCAGGCTGGCCGCGGACTGCGGCAGGTGTCCGTGTCACCCGGGCAGCAGCATCGGTGACGGCCGCAGCAGCGCGCACCCAAGAGCCTCGCTCCCCTCTCACCACGGCGCTGTGTCTCATAGCATGCAAAGTTTGGCACGATCTTATTTCCGCACGCGAATGAACCCCGCCTCTTTCAAAAGACTCCAGACTGGTAATTTCAGCCAACGCGGAAGGCACTCGTCAAGTCAATCGCAGCGCAACTCTGTGATCACATCATCTGAACTAATTGGTTTGTCGAGGTCATCCTGACCGCAATAGCTCGTCACACGACAGATCGCTTCAAGAGCACTCGGCGATCAGATCCTGTCAGCCCGTCTGGTGGAGGTGCCTCGCACTGTAAAGTTTGCCAAGATGATGCCTGGGATGATGGTGGGCCCCTGGGGTGTCGGATGGCAGATCAAGTTTGCCCGCGCTCACCGAGCAGCCGTCCCTGGGCCGCCTGAGGCGCTGATCGAGCGCGCGTGTTTGTATTGCAGCAACCTCAAATCATTCTGCTCAAGGAGGGCACGGACACTAGCCAGGGCAAGGCCCAGCTGATCAGGTGAGGGCGGCGGCGCAGCCAGCGTGCTGCCGCACTCGCATACAGCGCGGCTGGCGGTCTCGCCAGCAGAAGCCCCTGGACGGTCCGCTGGTGATGGCGGCACAGCTGCATAGCAAGATGGCCTCATAACAGGCCCGATACCTGACCAACACCCCACCGAGGCATCGCGTTCTGGGCAGCTGCGATGGACCACCAGTCAGTCCCTCTCGGCGCAACAGCTGCTGTCGCCCTGTTGGCAGGCGCCCCGCGAGCTGCGGCTGCGTCCCACCCGCCAAACGCTCTCCACGCTTTCGCCGCCCGCCCTCGCCGCCTGCCCCCGTTGCCGCCGCGCAGCAACATCAATGCCTGCATGGCGCTTACGGACACAGTCCGCACCACCCTGGGGCCGCGCGGCATGGACAAGCTCATCCATGACGACAAGGTGCGGGGGCATAGGACAGAGGCTGAGGGCGCAGGGCCACAGGTGCAGGGCCGAGGCGTGATGGGGGCGCGCTCGCAGAACGGGGGCCGTGCCGTTGCGGCAGCGGCCCGGGGCGGGCGCGCGGCGCCGTCTGTGGCGGCCGGCAGGATCCAGGGCGCTGGCAGGCCGCGCGCAGA